GTCACAGAAAATTACAAAAGAAAAGTCCTACTGAATTTAAGACTAGGACTTCTTGTACACACCCAATTTTGCTATTTGTATCCATTGCTGGTTTTGTCTGTGTCTACAGTCATTAACCTTCCTCACTTCAATGGCTTCCAAATGTGTAGATATTACAATTCCCAGAATTCTCTAACAGCATTTTTGCTCACAGTTCTGGTCATTGCAATCCAGTACAACTGGGTTGGAAGCCACTGGTTGTGGAAGACTGGGCTACATAAATGGCAGAATGATATGTAGAATTTCAAACTGCAGGTGAATATGTATCTGTGTGTGTGTGGGTGAAATGATAGAGGATTCCATATAATACATTCAATGTTAAACATGCAACTTTAAAAATAAAACTTAAATAAAATTGTCCTAGCCCAGTGTTATTAACTGGCAGGGAATGCCCTGAAATGTGTCACAGCCCATGACTTGTTCTCTTCAATATAGAATCTTTTCCCTTTTATTAGAAGAAGTAAACATTAGCAGCTATAAGCAGAAAATGTGTAGGCATTAATAGCAGCAAGATAGCACATCTGATTATTTTCTTCTCTTTTTCTAGCTGGAGAAGTAGTGCAAAGTGTATTTCTAGGACACTGGAACGTGAGACATCACAAGGTTCAGGGAGTCTCCAGGCAATGTGAAGACCAACAAGGTACTACCTCAGCTGAGCACAAACTCCATGAAATCCCCCTCCAGGATGAACGCACACAGGGTGCTGGGACTTCAGAGAAGCAGACTATCAGGAGGCAGTGCAAGCTCAAGGAAATTACCAGCTCACACGACGGCATACAGAGTAGCTGCTCAGGACAGCCTAGGAAGCCACAAGAAAAACGCCAAGATGCTCCCCAGCAAAGCGGCTCTTCAGGACAATGTAGTAGAAGGCAAGAAAACAGACCGCCCCAGGAAAGCCCAAGTGAGAACACACAGAGTTCAGGGAAACCCGGTCCAAAATGCGACAAAATCCAGAAGATTTCTAGTGGAGGCCAAGACAGACAGAGGTAAGAAACTGGCACAGAGCAAAACAGGTTAGGTGAGATCTCTCCAGATTACTGGACTGCATTTTCTGCTGAGCTCAGTTTGTGTGATGTTTTATTGGTAAAACAGAAGAATCAGAGTCCGCTGAGTATACAGCATGAAAGTACAGTAAGTCATGTACGGAGATGAATCTGAAGCACATTCAGCTGAAAGTCTAGGGGATTTAGTGAGGCTATAGCAAGTGGCTCATTCACACATCATGCTAAGCTGTAAATGTTGCTTAAAATTCTTGTGGCAGGGTTCACATAACATGTTATATCAAAACTAAGCAAACCATATTATGGACTAAGATGATGTGTGAATCCAGCCAGACAGTGCACTTAGAACTGTGCTCACAAGGGGTCAGCAAAGACAAAGAAAGACACATTTTCTACATAGAAAGTATGGTAGATTTTGACCTGGGATAATAGAATCTCTTTTCTCCACATAAAAGCAGTT